CAATCGGTCGCCTGGTACTCACGTTTTCACCGCCTGCACGTACTCCGAGTTGGAGTCCTCCTGCGCGTTGACGGTCGTGCCCATTGCAGACTCTGGGGGACGGAGACGAGACGACGATAGATTAGCGACAATGTTCTCAAGCAATACTCGCCAAAGGTTCTGGAGCTTTGTCCCCAAGGCGTCTGTGTAGTTTATCAATGCGCATGCGTGCACAAATTGCATGAGGCTCACAAGGGAACCTTTTCAGGTGTAAATCTCCGATTTCGTTGGTATTCGGAAAATTTGAAGGTTATTATAATAGAAGTCGGATGGCCATTGAAATTTTTCCTAAACTTAACATTTACTAGGGGTTTACTTAAGCCTGACACTGTTTTTTGCCCCAAATATCCCTCTACCGCTTTAACGGTTCAAAATAGAGCAAAACGGACAAAATTTTGGCCCAGAGGGCGCTACTTTGACGAGTTACCCCTTAGAATACGGCTTTACATTTTTCAAAAAATATTGTTTTCTTACACCTTACTCCTACCTTTTATAGGGGAAAACTAAATGTCAGGTTTAGGAAAAATTTCAAGTGCCATCCGATTTCTACATAGATAACCTTCAAATTTTCCAAGTTTCAACAAAATCGGAGATTTACACCTGAAAAGGTTCCCTTGTCAGTATTTTTACTGAAATTTTGCATTTTATTTTCGGAAAAGAGATGATTGAGAGCCAAATAGTAATATGTGTCGGAATCGGCATGAGGGTGACAGAGGGAAATTTGGACAAATAATTTTGAGCTGCCAGACGCGTTATCGCTACTTTCATATTGACCTTAGTTTTGTGAATGTCGCACAATTTAAGATGTGTGAATTTCTATTCGCACTCAAAGACGAAAATTAAGAAAAAGTTTAAAAATATTCCTCGTAATTTTCATGGTTGGGCTTATAGCATTGCAAATTCACACGCACTGTTAAAAAATCTGTGGAAAAACCACAGACAACCACAGAAAAATTTCCAACAGAGGTGTACGGATTGCTTCTGTTACATAAATTTTCAGTTATTTTGTGAACACAGAAGTCTGTACTTCAAAATCATAGAAAACACAGAACAGAATCGTACAGATTGCTTCCGTCATATAAATAGTCTGTCATTCAAGGGGTGCGGACCCATCTGTAACAGGCACTGTCTCTCAGTGGTAAAGCATCCGAAGACGCCGCTAGATGGCATTCTACATTAGCTCTCGCTGATCACTTCCGTCCTGGTCACCATGTAGTGTCCCAACCTGATACGTAGCAAATGGGAAATAGTTTCCCGCCCGCCGCAGTCCTGTGCTAAGGCGCCAACGAAATTGAATTTTTGACTCACTTTGGGTATCAAAGTACCCTACACAGACGACGATTCAACTAATAATGCTTGGTCTAGAAAAGAATGGCTAAACCACAGAAAATATCCGTACTAATTCTGTGGCAGGTGTACGGAGAAGCACAGACTTTCTGTAACAGAAGCTCCGTGGTTTTCTGTACCTTTGATTCCGTACCGACTCTGTGGTTTCAGCACAGATTTGTACGGACGTTCTGGGCAAAAAATTGACCATAGTTTTTCTGTGTTTTTTCCGTGGTTTTTTCTAACAGTGCGCCTACAAAGGTGTCAGAGTCACATTGCTACACGGTGTGGGCACTCACCGCAAATGGTGTCCAGTGTGCAGAGGTGCACGTAGTGGCCCACATCGAAGGCCTTGCGGCCACCCTCTGCTGCCAGCTTCTTCACCAGCACGGTCGCGTTCCGGTTGAACACCGGAAGGAACTGGTCCAGTATCCGGAAGTGGAAGGTGGGCGTCAGCAGGCGCCGGCGCGCGTGCCACTTCGCGCCCGTGCTGGTCAGCAG